GTGTGTGTGAGATAAACTATTAGGTATTGCATGTTCAAAATCACATGTAAAATAACTTTTTTTTTACACACACATACACACACACATACAGTATATATATATATATATATATATATATATATAGTTGTTGTCAGAATTATTAGCCTCCCTGAATTATCAGCTCCCCTGTTTATTTTTTCCCCAATTTCTGTTTAATGGAGGGAAGATTGTTTCAGCACATTTCTAAGCATAATAGTGTTAATAACTCATCTCTAATAACTGATTTATTTTCTCTTTGCCATGATGACAGTAAATAATATTAGACTAGATATTCTTCAAGACACTTCTACACAGCTTAAAGTGCCATTTAAAGGCTTCACTAGGGTAATTAGGGTAACTAGGCAGGTTAGGGTAATTAGGCAAGTTATTCTATATCAATGGTTTGTTCTGTAGACTGTCGGGGAAAAAAATTGCTTAAAGGGGCTAATAATATTGACCCTAAAATGTTTTTTAAAAAAATAAAAACTGCTTTTATTCTAGCTGGAATAAAACAAATAAGACTTTCCTCTGAAGAACAAATATTATCAGACATACTGTGAACATTTCCTTGCTCTGTTAAACAACATTTGGGAAATATTTAAAAAAGAAGAAAAAAATCTAAAGGGGATTAATAATTTATTAGGCCACTTTATTAGGTACACCTGTCCAACTGTTCGTTAACGCACATTTCTAATCAGCCAATCGCATGGCAACAACTTAATGCATTGAGGCATGTAGACATGGTCAAGACGATCTGCTGCAGTTCACAGCGAGCATCAGAATGGGGAAGTAAGGGCATTTAAGTGACTTTGAACGTGGTTTGGTCTGAGTATTTCAGAAACTGCTGATCTACTGGCATTTTCATGCACAACCATCTCTAGGGTTTACAGTGAATGAGGAAATATCCAGTGAGCGGCAGTTCTGTGGGCGCAAATGCCTTGTTGATGAGGCCAGAGGTCAGAGGAGAATGGCCAGACTGGTTCTAGCTGATAGAAAGGCAACAGTAACTCAAATAAGCACTCGTTACAATCGAGCTCTGCAGAAGAGCATCTCTGAACACACAACACGGCCAACCTTGAGGCGGATGGGCTACAGCAGCAGAAGAGCACACCGGGTGCCGCTCCTGTCAGCTAAGAACAGGAAACTGAGGCTACAATTCACACAGACTCACCAAAACTGGACAATAGAAGATTGGAGAAACGTTGCTGCTCTGATGAGTCTCCATTTCTGCTGACACATTCGGATGCTCGGCTCACAATTTGGCCTCAACAACATGAAAGCATGGATCATCCTGCCTTGTATCAGCGGTTCAGGCTGGTGCTGGTGGTGTAATGGTGTGGGGGAGATTTTCTTTGGGTCCATTAGTACCAATTGAGCATCAACGCCACAGCCTACCTGAGTATTGCTGTTGATGACCATGTCCATCCCTTTATGAGCACAGTGTCTCCATCTTCTGATGGCTACTTCCAGCAGGATAACGCAGCATGTCATAAAGCTCAATCATCTCAGACTGGTTTCTTGAACATGACGATGAGTTCACTGTACTCAAATGGCCTCCACAGCCACCAGAGCTCAATCCAATAGAGCAGCTTTGGGATGTGGTGGAACGGGAGATTGGCATCATGGATGTGCAGCCGACAAATCTGCAGCAACTGTGTGATGCTATCATGACAATATGGAGCAAAATCTCTGAGGAATATTTCCAGTAGCTCGTTGAATCTCTGGCATGAAAGATTAAGGCAGTTCTGAAGGCAAAAGGGGTCCGACCGGTACGAGTAAGGTTTACCTAATAAAGTGGCCGGTATATAAATACACACACACACACACACACACATATTTCAATAACACAAAACAACAACAAAAAAAATCGCTAAATTAAATAGATTTTAAACGTGTGTATGCATGCACGAGTGTTTTTGTGACACACCGGGACACAAATGCGTCATTGGTATGACACAGGTATTACAGAAGAATGTGCTTTATGGGGACATTCCTCATGTCTTCATTTTTCAAAGGTTTATAAATCACACAGAATTCATGTTTTAGTCAAAGTAAAAATAAAAGTTTACTGTAAGCGACAGGGTGAAGTGTAGGGCGATAGAAAACACGTGTGCAGTGTGTGTGTGTGTGTGTGTGTGTGACATTGTATTCCGTATGTCGTATGGACATTTGGCATAAGTACAGCAATACCAGTAAATTTTGACCTTGTGTGCTCATTTTTTTATTTTTTTGGTCCCCATGAGGGATACGTCTCATAAATCAGGCAGAATGAAGGATGCTGAAGATGTGCAGAGGGTTTGCTGTGTGTGTTGAGTTCAGGGGGAGACGAGAGAATATACAGTCTCTACAGTACAAACATCACTATAGGTATAGAGAGGCCGTGTGTGTGTGTGTGTGTGTGTGTGTGTGTGTGTGTGTGTGTGTGTGTGTGTGTGTGTGTGTTTGTGTGTGTGTGTGTGTGTGTGTGTGTGTGTGGTCAGAGGAGATGTGTGACTTACACAGGAACACTACAGGATCACACACACACACATATGTGTGTGTGAAGAATGACAGTGGAGCATATGTGTACACTTTGAACGGATCACTGCGTCAGTGTGTGTGTGTGTGTGATTTGGCACAGGTTGTGTGTGTGTGTGACAGGTTGGTGTAAATGAAATTCCAACAGCTTCTTTTTCAGTCTGCTTCATCACAGGTTTGGTTTGGTTCTAACCACAGTTTGCTCATATATATAGATGGTAAATATCCAGGGTTCAACTCCTGACAAAGAACCAGATCTATGCATGTTTTGAGTCAAATATCATTACTCTAAAGTGACATTTGACTATAAAACACACTTTATTTTAGCATGTGCAAGGTTTATAGATAGATAGATAGATAGATAGATAGATAGATAGATAGATAGATAGATAGATAGATAGATAGATAGATAGATAGATAGATAGATAGATAGATAGATAGATAGATAGATAGACAGACTCAGAGTAGGGGTAGGCTTTAGTAGAATACAAATAATTAATAACAAATGTAATAAATAATATAAATAATTATTGTTACCTTCCGGGTGCAGTGATGTGATTTATAGCCGATTAACCATGTGGATGGGTGATAACAGCTTTCTGAGCCTACCAGTAGGCACAGTAGGCCCCTACTGGCCCATATCTATCAGCTGATAACCAACGATAACACCCATTCAATTGAGTGATAACATTTCAGTCTGCTGTTTTTAAAAATGTTCCACCTGGAAATTATGGAATAATGTTTTTTTAATGTCAAACTGTGTTTATTTATTTATAGTTATTTATTATGTGTCCTTAAGTTATAAAGTTATCATTAATGAAAACACATGAAATCACCATGAGGTGCAATAATGTTTGTGAATTAGCGGTGGCTTTTTGCAGTTTAGATGCTCTTCTGCAGATGTCAATGCATGAGGAGAAGCAATAGTATCTGGATGCAGCCTTTATGATGCAAGCTGAGACTGCACCACTCAGCGATGCAATGTCAGACACAATGCACTCAAATGGAGCTAGTGACGTCACTGTGATGGGTAGGGTTAGGGGTGGGGTTAGGTGAGCCCTTAAAAAAGCATTGGATGCAGCCCAGTTTGCACTGCACCACATCTGCAGCCAGACCCCTCTCGAGGAAAGGGTCAAGGGGAAATTGACACTTCACCTTTATTTATTTATTCATTTAGCAGGGACCGTGTACATTAATGAGCATTTCTGCAAATACACTAGAGTTAGCCAGAAGGCTATTTTCTTTCTTTTTTTTTTTTTAGAAAAAGCTTGTAATACCCGAGTTATTTGAGCTTGCTGTTTTCTTTTATACGTTTCATGTTTTACGTATTGTATGTTGTTTTATTTCTTTGGTCTGATCATTTGTGTACATAATAGAATTACACTGGTTACCCGTGCACCAAAGAATAGATTTCAAGATTCTTTTATTAGTTTATAAAGCCCTTCACAACATGACACCTTCCTACATTTCCGACTGTTAATTAAAATATAACCCAAACCGTTTGCTACGCTCTTCTGGCGCTGGACTTTTAGAATTTTACTCTGTAAACCTGATGCGATCTGGCGGCACTTCTTTTAGCCATTATGCTCCAAATATTTGGAACTGTCTCCCTCTTGAAGTGAAAGAATCCCCTAGTATTCATGTTTTTAAAAAGCGTGTTAAGATACATCTTTTTAAAATTGCGTATGAATACACAAGCTTTTAGGGTGTATGCATTTTATCTATATTGTTGTAGGTTTATGTGTGTATGTATGGTGTGTGCTTGCATATATAAGGACTATTGTGTGCATGATCATGTGGATATATGCTATTATTTGTGTGTGTACATGAATGCTTTTATCTGAGTATATGTGACAAGTTTGTGTGGTCTATTTTAATGCTTTTTTGTTGCTGTTTTTGAGGCACTTTGAGTTGCATGTATGTTGGAAAAGTGCTATACAGTACAAGTAAAATGTATTATTATTATTATTATTATTATTTTTACAGCACATTGGTCAAGAACTGTTGTTATATTGTGCTTGCTTTATAAATACGGCAAGAAAATTTCCTCGAACAAAGGTGTTTTTGAGACTCTACGGCAGGGGTCACCAATCTCAGTCCTGGAGTTCAGGTGTCCTACAGGGTTTAGCTTCAACTGGCCTCAACACACCTGCCTGGGTGTTTCAAGTATACCTAATAAGACCTTGATTAGCTTGTTCAGGTGTGTTTGATTAGGGTTGGAGCTAAAATTGCAGGACACCGGCCCTCCAGGAACAAGTTTGGTGATCCCTGCTTTACCGGGTTGATTTAATTATTTATTTACATGCCGATGCTGTCAAACTGGTGTATAAATGTAATATCACACATGCAGGACTGTGATATGGCTTCATATCAGCACTGATGTGATAATAACTACTATGTGTGTGTGTGTGTGTGTGTGTGTGTGTGCGCGTGTGCGTGTGCGTGTGTGTGTGTGTGTTTTTTAGGAGGTTTTGCTGAAGAGAGCTGCAGATCTGGTGGAGGCGCTGTATGGGATGCCTCATAACAACCAGGTATGAAAACAGAGAACACAAATAATCACATTTTACAGGAGATTTCAGCACATTTTAGCAGATATTATTACACTGCTGTCTGGAATACTGGATTCTGATTGGTCAGTTGTGATATTTCAAGGTCTGTTAATCCCAGATAACAACCACTGAATAACACAGACTCATTTGCCCCCTTTTGAATTTTTCTTCTTTTTTAAATATTTCCCAAATGATGTTTAAGAGAGCAAGGAAATTTTCACAGTATGTCTGATAATATTTTTTCTTCTAGAGAAAGTCTTATTTGTTTTATTTCGGTTAGAATAAAAGCAGTTTTTAATTTTTTAAGCACCATTTTAAGGACAAAATTATTAATATTACATTTTTTTTGATAGTCTACAGAACAGACCATCGTTATTCAATGACTTGCCTAATTACCCTAACCTGCCTAGTTACCCTAATTACCCTGGTGAAGCCTTTAAATTTCACTTTAAGCTGTATAAAAGTGTCTTAAAAATATCTAGTCTAATATTATTTACTGTCATCATGACAAAGAGCAAATAAATCAGTTATTAGAAATAAGTTTTTAACACTATTATGATTAGAAACGTGCTGAACAAATCTGCTCTCCGTCAAACAGAAATTGGGGAAAATAATAAACAAGCTGGCTAATAATTCTGACTTCAACTGTACATACAATACTTGCCATCTTGCGAATGAATAATACATAGGTTAATGTATGCTCCATTCAACCGGTTTCTGTCAGCTTTACGTTTAATAATGCGCAGGTTAGTGTAGACTCCATCAAACTCCATTTTTGGGTTGGTGTCTTCTGTTGACTGAATAATTATTCATAATAACAGAGGAATGTCAGATAAGCATATATATATATTCAGTATTGACCCGAATGAGCATGTGTTATTAGTATGCCAGTTTATTATTAGGGAATATTATACCCTGGAATATCATGGTTGACCTGCTCCTCAGTCTTCTACAGCAGCTGCTGATAAACCTGTTGGGTTTTATCCTGTTGGGTTTTATTTATACAACCAGCTGGATGTACTTTATTCTTTACCTAACCCTCCTGTTGACTTACAGGTCCAAATTGACCCTCTAACCATAACAAATAAACTGTGACTGTCTGAGTAATTGTATAACAGATTAATAAATGTCTAAGTAATTTAGTTTTGAGTACTGTATGTATCTTGATGTAGCTTGCTGAGTTAGCAGTCAATGAGAAGTGTGTGTGTGTGTGTGTGTGTGTGTCAGGAGATCATCTTGAAGCGTGCGGCTGACCTGACGGAGGCTCTATATAGTGTGCCGCGGAGCCACAATCAGCTGCCCTCTCTGACGGGCTCCAGCGCTCACTCCGGCATGATGGGAGTCAACTCCTTCAGCAGCCAGCTCGCCGTCAACATCTCTGAGGCCTCGCAGGCGGACCAGGGTCAGTGTGTGTGCGTGTGTGTTTGTGTGCGTGATAGTCATTACATTGTATGGACCAAATGTCCCCACAAGTATAGCAATACCAGTAAATTTTGACCAAAACAAGTGTGTGTGACCTTGTATTCCTCATGTTGTGGGGACATTTGGTAAATATAATACCAGAAAGTTTTGAAAAAAATCAAAAACAAGTGTGTGCGCGTGCGTGTGTGTGCGTGCATTATATTCATTTGATTGTATGGACCAAATGTTCCCACAACTATAGCAATACCAATGAATTTTGATAAAAACAAGTGTTTGCAACCTTGTATTCCTCATGTTGTGGGGACATTTGGTAAATATAGTAACATCAGCAAGTTTTGAAAAAATAAAAAAGTATGTGTGTGTGTGTGTGTGTGTGTGTGTGTGTGTGTGTGCGTATGCATATTTGTTAAATTGTATAGACCAAATGTTCCCACAAGTATAGCTTTACCAGTGAACTTTGACCAAAACAAATGTGTGTGACCACGTATTTTCTATGTTGTCGGGACATTTGGTAAATATAGTAATACCAGAGCTTTGAAAAAATCAAAAACAAGTGTGTGTGTGTGTGTGTGTGTGTGTGTGTGTGTGTGTGTGTGTGTGTTTGTGGGCGTGTGCGTGCGTGCGTGCGTGCGTGCGTGCGTGCGTGCGTGTGTGTGTGTGTGTGTGTGTGTGCGTGTGCAAGATATTCATTGGATTGCTTATATCAAATGTCCTCACAAGGATAGCAATATCAGTTAATTTTGACAAAAACAAGTGTGTGTGCATTACTTTGTTTTCCTCATGTTGTGGGGACATTTGGTAAATATAGTAATACCAGAAAGCTTAGAAAAATTAAAAAACAAGTGTGTGTGTGTGTATGCGCCTGCGTGCGTGCATGTGTGCGTTCGTGCGTATGTGTGTGTTAGAGTGCATGATATTCAATAGATTGTATGAGCCAACCTTGTATTCCTCATGTTGTGAGAACATTTTGGTAAATATAGTAATACCAGAAAGCTTTGAAAAATTCAAAAACAAGTGTGGGAGTGAGACCATGTAGTCTTTATTTCATGGGTACATTTGGCTTAAGTACAGCAAAACCAGTAAATGTTGACCGTGTTGGGACTTTTTTTAAAAACCCTACAAGTGTGTATAAAAGAGCAGAATAAATGTCCCCACAAGGATAGCTAAACCAACTAAAAACAAAGTACTAAGTGTGTGTGTGTGTAAATATGTGTGTGTGTGTGTGTGTGTGTGTGTGTGTGCACATAAACAATTAAATAAAAATCTGTAAAATATGTATGGTAAAAAAGTGGC